TTTTATTTCATATCTTTCCTTACTTCTTGAAAAATTTCCCCAAACATGAATTATATTTATAATTTAAAAATTAATGATACCCATTAACAATGACAGGAACTGTTGGAATCATGGAATTCACAAATTGAATTTTAAGTGAAGTGTTTCTTTCTGCTCCACTTACCCTTATGCATATAAAAATGCATTTTAATAAGGCAGACAAATGCAGGAAAGGTTTTGAAGTATCTCCCACTTGTTCCTACGCTCACTTCCTGATAGAGCTATTAAGAAGTAATCAAGTTCTGCTTAAAAGGAGCATCATTAGAGAAGGCATGAATATGGAGTTGAAAATGCACATCTACTGAGAAGTCACCTACTATGTGCCAAACATTAAATTAGGGGTTTCAGATCCAAATGATTCATAGAACAAAAGCTTTGTGTAATTAAGGTGATTCAAACAAATTAGGAAGAGCTGGCTAAACTTTTTAAAAAATATATTTTATTAATTTTTCCACAGAGAGGAAGGGAGAAGGATAAAGAGCTAGAAACATCCATGAGAGAGAAACATCCACCAGCTGCCTCCTGCACACCCCCTACCAGGGATGTGCCCGCAACCCATGTACATGCCCTTGACAGGAATCAAACCTGGTACCTTTCAGTCCGCAGATCCGCTCTATCCCCTGAGCCAAACTGGTTTTTAACGGCTATCACTTTTTTAAAAAGTGGCCTGTGCCCACTGGTGGGCAAAGTAAGAAGGAGGGAGTTCAGGAATTTGTTACAAAAATGGTGCCAGGGCCCTAGGTTGAAGGAAGGGGAGGGAAGGCAGAATTAGACAACTACAGGTTCAGAGCAATGTGACCTGAAGCACCCTGAAGGGATAGTTAGAAATGCTGATTTCTGGGACCCAGTCTACTGAGTCAGACTTTCTAGAAGTGTGTTCTGAAATTCTGCTTCTCAGTCAGATCGTCTAAGTGAGCTAAGGTTTGAGAGGTTCTTCTCTAAGATAACTCAGATCCTGAAGAATAAGTCCTACCTGGAGTCAGAGATAATCATATATTTATTTTCTCCTTAGACTTCTAGGAAGGTAGTAGGACCCATATGAAGCAGTGCACTAAATGTTAGTGGGTAAACTCATGGTGAAGAAATTGAGAAATGATTCAGTCATGTTAAGAAAACAATTGGCTTGGAGATTTAGAATCTCTTAAGAAGGTGATGTTAAAAATCAATATTGTCACACACCTAAGAGCAAAGACAAAGTTAAATTAGGCCTAAAGCACAGGTTAAGTTTGTGAAAAAGAAAGCTAGAGTCCACATTTTTGCAGTTCATCTGTTACAGTGAAACAACTGAGCATATCTCTTGTCTCATATATATATACATATATATATGAGAATGACTTAACTAACTGGTCACTATAATGCACACTGACCACCTGGGGGCAGACGCTCAATGCAGGAGAGCATCCGTAGTGTCCCCTGGTGGTCAGTGTGCTCTCACAGCCAATCTCCTGGGGCCTGCCAACCTCCTTCCGTCCTTGCTCCTGGCTGACCGGCCCCGATTGGGTGAGATGGCCCTGATCACCCCCCCTATCACCAGCCAGGCTGAGAGACCCCACCCATGCACAAATTCATGCACTGGGCCTCTAGTCCTATCATAATTTCTTATGATAGAAAATTGTATTAATGAAACATAGATCCTTGAAATATTTAAAAGATAGTTATAAATAAGCTCCCACAGTTTGGAGAACATCTGATCTCCCTGGGTAAGTCTGGGATATTTTAGATGATGAGGATAAGTATAAATAAATATCTATGATTGCCAAAGATAAATGAAATTGAATTTAGTTCAACGGGCATTTACTACTTATTACCTCGCAGTGTGCCAAAGGGTATTAGAGAAGGGGGGCTAGATATGACACAGTCTCTGCCTTCAAAGAGTTTACAGGTTTGTGAGGGAGGCTTATCTATAGACTATGTATGATAAAAGGCATGAGGACAGATTCCAAATTAAAATACAGTAAGCAGTAAATCAAACATACCAGAGTTTTAAAGAGAGGTTATTTCTGTACGGGGAGGGTTACTAAGGGAAAGCAAAACAAGTCAGTCAAATTTACTCCGCTGACAGATGTTGTATCCTGATTTCACTGCACCCAAGCAAAGGAAGTCTTCACAAAGGAGCTCTGAGTAGAGAGGAAGTTGAGAGGATGAGGCTGTGGGGAGAGGAATAGTGAGTAAGAACATTTTTTTAAAAAAAATTCTTTATCGTTTAAAGTATTGCATAAGTCTCCTTTTCCCCCCATTGACCTCTCCCTGGCCGCCCTCGCCCCCTAGCACATGCCCTCACTCCCCTAGTGTCTGTGTCCATTGGTTATGCTCATATGCATGCATACAAGTCTTTTGGTTGATCTCTTACCTCCTCACCCCTTCTCCCCGCCTTCCCTCATAGGTTGGACAGTCTGTTAGTAAGAACATTTTTGTAAAGGTATGATAGAGTGTAAGTTCTTGGTGGGGCTGATCCTGCTCCAGTATATGAATATAATACTAAATACTCAAAATGGTATTATTGTTATCATTATTATTGCTATATGTCTGTAGGAATCACTAAAATCAGCAAAACTCCTAAGAAGTTGATGTCTTAAAGTGTGAAGAAGATAAACAGTAGATCAAGGGCGCGGCACACTCTCTGCCGCAAAAGTGCTATTTTCTGATGGATTTCCAATGAGATGGAGTGATTAAAACTTAGAAACAGAAAGAAAGGCACTTTTTATATTTCTTTCTTTGCTTCTTTGAAGAAATGCTGTGAACCAACTCAAATATTTTGTTACAAGGTTTTATTTTGCTTCGTTTCTCAAATACTTTCACCTTGGTTAATTTAAATGTTTGAGTAACTGGGGCTTTAAAAGCATTTTTAAAATGTTATTATTCTTGCCCTGGCCAGGTGGCTCCGTTACTTGGATCCCTGGTCTGGTACACCAAAAGGTTGGGGATTCTATTCTGGTCAGAGCACATACCTAGGCTGCAGGTTTGATGCCCAATTGGGGTGAGGTCAAGAGGCAAGCCTCTCTCTCTCAAAACATAATCTCTCATGTGGATTAAAAATGATAATGAAAGGTTATTACTTTCTCATTTGCACTGGCTTTTCCTCTGATGGTAAGAAACAGGGATATCCAAATAGGCAAAACAAATATCCCTCCTCGTGTAATTATCTATTCATTTAACTGTACGTGCTAGCATCTTTCTGGGAAGAACTTGAGGACTGAAATTAATCCTCTTAAATGTGGCTCCAGTGTTACCGGTGCCTTTTAAATAATTTCCATTCTGTGGTATAGCACCTGTCTCATGCTTTCAACATTTTGTTTCCACTTCGCTGTTCCCCTCAAAGAAAGGGTGTTCCTTGGATATGTGTGGCATTTTGAACTAGATCTTTAACCCACGTTCCCTATTTCGGTCAGTGAGCACAGCCCTGCTTTCCAGACTCCTAGGAGGACCTTCTACTGGACCAAGCCCCACACTCCAGCTACAGACTCTACAGACTCCAGCCCTCGCTTCTGGGATCGAGGAGGCGGCCAGTATGGGGCCGGTCGCCCGGCCCTTTGGAAGTGAGAGTCTGGGAGCCCCGCAGCAGTGCCCGCGCCCCGACCTCCTCGGGACAGACTCCAGCATGCCCGCCCCCCGGGGTTGGTTTCGGAGGCCCCGCGCCCCACCGCGACCTGGAGAGGTTCCAGCATCCTTCGGCCTGGAGGCCCCGGGCAACCGCTGCCCCGGGGCCGGGAATCACAGCCGTTCTGCGGGCTGGAAGTGCAGCTCTGGGTGGAAGAGTCGCGGCTGCAAATGCTGGAGGTTGAGGCTGCAGAGCGCCGGCCCGGACCAAGGACTCTGAGCACCCGCGGGGCTGCTGGGCAACCGCGCGCCGCACCAGGGCCCGGGGAGCCCAGTCTGGCCTGGAGCAAGCGGGGATCCGCAGACAGGGTCAGCGGAGCAGAACGGAGCCAGTTTTTAGCCTGGTCCCAGTCCTGCGGACCTTCTCCCAGGGCCCAGCTGGGGAGAGAGCAGGGGGAAGATAAACAGCAGATCGAGGGCGCGGCGCCCTCTCCGCCACCTCCTGGCCTGGCGCTGCCTCCCCGCGCGCAGGGCCCAGGCCGGGCGGCGGGGGTTTCTCTGGACCGGGGCTCGGAAGGACCTGCTGGGCCTTATCCTGAGCGATCCGTCATCTGCAAACGCAGCTCGGGTGGCATTCCAGGCTCTGTTAGCAGGCACAAATCAGCTACATTCCTGCCCCTAGGCCCTGCTATTTCAAGAATTCAAGGGAAAGAATGTGCAGCGGTGCAGCGCAGGGAACTGGTGAAGCAAGGAGGCGCGCTTGGCCTGCATGCAGACACATTTGTCCCCGCTGGGTCTTCCCAGCTTTACTGATCGCGGGGGCTGGGGTAAAGGTTTGTTTCTCTCTCCCAGAGTTACTCTGAAATCAACTCTCTTTAGAGCGAAGGTCCATATGGTTACATCGCGCCTGTAGCAATCGCAATGTGTCCGAAATGGGCACCACCACTAGCCACACAGTTTCTTCCGGACGCGGAGTCTCTTCTTGGCTCTGGAGTTTATTCTTGTTTTCTCGATGGAATGGGCCTTCGAAATCCCCCAGGAACGTCTCAGTAAGTACATATATAATGATCCCCCTTAAGTGACAGCTTGGGACTTAGGTACAATAAGTCACGTGTACTTGTTGATACATCTTTTCTATGAATAAGAATGATATTTTTGAGATCTCCAAGGCAAAGTTGATCTGACAAGGGATAGTATATCCAATCCTTATCATGTAACTAAAAGCCTGCACTTCTATAGAGATTTGGTGGACGTTCTAGTTAGCATCTTAGACTATTTTGATGTTCTGCGTTGAATCTACAAGCATTTTCATAACACAACACTTATATTGTATATATTACCATTTCAGGTCACCTTTCCACAAAACTGTACGTTTCCTTAAGGAAGGGATAGTTTTTCCTTACCTTTGATTTTCCCATCAAGTAATGCCTACACGTAAGTACTCAATAAATAATTATTAATTACACAACTCACTCTTAGTTATTAAATTTCCACGCTCTGAAACAGAGGAATGAAGGAATGGGAAGATAGGCCTTAAAGATACCAAATACAAATGAAGAACTTGGTAATCCATGCTGAGTGGCATTTGTAAGACAGTAATGGTGCTCAGAAACAATTTGCTAATCAAATCTCTTGGTTTTAGGACTATCATGAGCAGGAGGTAAGAGCGACCTACATTCTTAGGCAATTTTTTTAAAAAAATTACTATTTGGATATATTTTTCTTTCTTTTCTTTCTATAAACTAGATATTTAAGCCATAATGATTGAAGTGAAAATGTATTTTGTCTGTCTTTGATATATGTCCTCGGATTTACTGGTGCATTTGGCTAACCCCATATTCTCACTTTTTATATTTTCAATGACATCATAACACAAATTGGACAATCTTGATTTGGATATTTAAAATACTTACCTTGGGAGAGTGAGCTGCAAATATTAAAATCCATTAGCTACCTTAATTGTTGCCTTTTCAGTTCTCAGTGATACTTTATATCCTTGTGCCTTAGTCTTTGAATGTACTCCCCAGCTTCTTCCCCGAGTAAACATGTGAAGAACCTGTCTTGTTAATATGTATCAGCACACATGCTATACTAGTATTTTAGCTGATACTGTCTTTCAAAAGCGTTCAGTTGTTCCCACTCATCTTACATAAAGGCACTTCAAAAACATCACCATCACTGATGCATTACAAAACATTCATTCTGGACAACATACCATTAGAACACATTCTAATAACGATAGAAATCTTTTGGAGGAGGATGCTGCACACAATAGGAATTCTTTTTATTTTAAATGCGTGTACTAGAAATATATTCTTCACTCGGAATATGATAGTGAAAATACTGGTTGCCTCATCAATACCATTGTTACTGATTTTTGTAGGCCCGTTGTAAGAAAGATAAGCCTCTTAGTTTCTGCTACTAACAAAATATTTGTTTTATGCTGAACTTTAGGGTTAACCACTTGAATTTTGGTAGTATATCTTCTACTGTTTGTTCAAGTGCCAACTATTCATTCTTTCCAGATTGTAAGTAAAATATGAATCCGAGTGCTATCTCTATTTGCAGCACCAGAAAAAAAAAATGCTGTTGAATTTATAATTCAAGATAACCATGTTCTTTTATTTTAGCATCAATTTATCCTCCTTGTTGCGATTTTTAATGGAGTCCTTATTGCTTCCCTCCACTCCCTTGACCTACTTTGTTTTTAGGTACTTGCATATATAGCGTGTTTTCAGGGATGATGATTTCTGTAGTGTTTAGGAGAAAGAATCTTAAATCACAGTGAAACACACCAGTTAGCTACCACTTATTCTAGAAATACTTCGGTGGTTTTAAAAATCATCTTGTTACAGTGCTCCCCCCGTTTCATCGTCTGAAATCTTTCAAGAAGCTCTGCTTTTCATGAATTTGTCCCGTTCTTCCGCTGAGGATTTGAACTTCATTCAGTTCTGGTCCAGTTGTGTTATTTTTCTCTGTTGCCTCCGCCTCCCAGAGATTGTTTTTTTCCAGGGAGAGGCGTTCCAGGGGCTGGAGAGGAGAGAGGAGAGAGCGAGCAGGTGCCTCGGGCACTGGATCCCTCCTCCCGAACCTAGTGAGGAGTCAGTTTTGACAGTTCCCCGTCTCTCTTTGGCTCCCACGCTTTTGTGGTCCATGGGTAGCTTTCACCTTCTCTCTCCTTCCTGCCTCTGGCCGGCCTGCAGGCCACCCGCAAACCCTGCCCTTGCCCCAGCCCGCTCAGAGCTCTCCCACACCCGTCGTCCTCGTGGGGGCACCGGGGCACATGGCCATAGACGACTCGGGGACTGGCAGAGCCGAGCCGGGACCCGGACGCCCCGGGGCAGCCCCTCCCCAGGGTTTTCCCCGGGTCCAGGCGCCCACGTGACCGAGAAAGCGCCTGGCCCGGCCCGCCCCTTTTCGGCCGCCGCTGCCCACTTCCCGCCTAGGGGAGAGGGGGAACGCAGACCGCGGTTTTTCCGCACCGCCCCCACCTCGCCCTCCTCCTCCTCTCCCCTTCCCTGCATCCCCTCTCCCCCCACAACGCCCTCGCACCCTTCCCTCCGCCCCGCCATCCTCCCCGCCGGGCCCTTTGTACGTGCTCGGCGGCGTGCGAGCGAGCGCGCCCGGCACGTGACTCCTCCGAACGTGGCATTGTGTCGTCACGTGACCCAGGTGCGTACGCGACGGAGCGGGGTGTGAAGATGGCGGACGAGGAGGCCGAGCAGGAGAGGCTGAGCCGCGGCGGCGGCGGCTGCGTCGCGGAGCTGCAGCGCCTGGGCGAGCGGCTCCAGGAGCTGGAGCGGGAGCTGCGGGAGAGCCGGGCGCCGGCCGTGGAGGCGGCCACGGAGTACTGCCAGCAGCTGTGCCAGGTGAGAGCGCCGCGGTCCCCTCCCCCTTTCCCCGGCTAGAAGGGGAAGAGGGCGGGCGGGCGGGCGCCTAGCGGGCCGAGCGGTGGTCGCCCCCTGCCTGCCCTGGCGTCGCCGGAGCCGCCGCCCGGCGGGAGCGGGGAGGACGGGGAAGGAGCCTTTGTGTGGCTGCCGTTGTGGCGGCTGCTGTCGGCAGCTCCGGGCTGGCGGCGGGGGGGAAGGGAGTTGTGGTCTTGGCGGAAAATCCCCCTTCCCCTCCCCTCTCCTTTGCCGAACTCGGGCCGCGGAGATGTGGACGGCGAGAAAGGGAGCCCTCTCCGCCTCAGGGAGACGGGAAGGGGCGATCGGAGGCCCGGTCCCCTGCCCGCACCCCCTCTTATTGTGCGCCGGGATTACCGCGCCCCCCGCCGCCGCGCGCCTCCGTTCCACCCCGACGGGCCTCCGCCCCCTCCGGCTGATTCCTCTGCTCCCCTGCTTCCCTCCGGCCCGCCCCCGGCCCCGGCCCCGCCGTCTGCGGGCCTTTGTTGTTCGAGTTTCGCCTCGGGACTGAAGGGGGCCTTTGTTGATGGTGGGAGAAGCAGTCCCTGCCGACCCCTCCTGGCTGGGCCGGAGGCTGGGGTGGGGGGCGCGCAGCTTGTCCCTTTTCTGCCTTTGCTTGCTCGGTGCACCGCTTCCATAGTGAAGGTTGCTTTTTGTCGGTCGAGAGGAGCTGACTCTGTGTGTATCCCCGTGGGGCCGCTTTTCTAGAGTGGCTTCTCTTTTGCTTTCACCCTTCTAGGAGTGCAGTTGCCTCTGTATGCCCCCCTCCCCCACACACACACACATCCCCACACCCCATTATTTGGAGCCTTCCCTCTTGGGCCTCCTGGTGACACCGAGAGGATTGAGGTTCTGCGGACCTGTGCTCTTGTCAGTTCCAGACCTTCCCTCCTCTTGCATAAGGACACTGCTTTCCAGTAATTGCGTTCTAGACAGGATTTAGAATGTTAATAACACTCAGAGAGATCGGAGGTGTGGGGGGCCTCCATTTGGACTTGATTACAAAACCTCCAGTTGTGCCTGACATTTCAAGGAGCTACAGCTGGCTGTGGTGAGGATTTTCGTTCGATTGTCTTCTTGAGGAGGAAAAAGACGATTTGTTACAGGTCACATGTAGAGTTGGTTTGTGAATGGATCATGGAGAAGTATGTTTTGGAACGATACTGAAATCAGTGTGGAACAATGACCCTTTTCCCATCTCAGAATAGATTGCATTTTCACTCAATCCCTAGCCTCTAAGTTCTGAAATCTTTTTTTCTTTATCATTAATATGATCAGGGACACTTGATACCATACAAAAAAAATTCTTCATTGCTATATGTACATATTGTCACTAATTATTTGGTGATTGTTAATTATCTTAAAATTTGTGAGATCAGCCCTAGCGGGCTTGGCTCAGTGGCTAGAGCATCGACCTGCGGACTAAAGGGTCCCAGGTTCAATTCTGGTCAAGGGCACATGTCCAGGTTGCAGACTTGAGCCCCAGTGAGAAGCGTGCAAGAGGCAGCCAATCAATGATCCTCATCCTCTCCCTCTCTCCCTCTCTTCCTCTCTCCCTCTCTCTATCCTCCTTCCTCTCTGAAATTAATAAAAATATATTTTTTTTAAAAATTGGTGAGATCAAGTGGTGATTTTCTAAGATGATGTATAGGCCATGTGAAAGCTCCCTAAGATAACATAGGTCTGGTGAATATCTATGTCAAAATTAGAGATTCTGTCATTCTTTTGATTTCTAGTTTGAAAGAACTGTTGGAATTTGCAAATTTCACTAACCTGGTAGTACCCACTCATTCTTTTTTTTTTTTTTTTTTTTTTTTTTTTACATAGAGAGGAAGAGAACAGAGAGGAAGAGAGAGGGATAGAGAGTTAGAAACATCAATGAGAGGGAAGCATCGATCAGCTGCCTCTTGCATATCCCCTACCTCAACCAAGGTACATGCCCTTGACTGGAATCGAACCCGGGACCTTTCAGTCCGCAGGCCGATTGAGCCAAACCGGTTTCGGCAACCCACTCATTCTTAATTGGTCTTTCAGATATAAAGACTTACTTTAGATATAAAAATATACTTCAGTAAGATGCCCAAAAATGGAAGTCTTTCATTTATAAGTTAGGTCAGCTTTTTTAATCAGTGAGAAGTATTCAAGTCTCACTTTCCTGAAACATTTTTTTCAGGTAACAGTGTCCTGAAGGGTTTAAGGCTAATTGTAAATACTTTAAATTTTCTTTTTCTTTCTTTCTTTTCTTTTTTTTTTTGTTGTTGTTGATCTGAGAGAGGAAAGGGAAGAGAGAGACACACAAACATCTATGATAGAGAGAACTGTTGATCGGCTGCTTCCTAGGGATCACACCTGCCACCCAGGCATGTGCCCCAGCTGGGAATCGAACTGTGACTTCCACCACTGAATCACTGGCTGGGCATAATTATTGTAAATGCTCTTGGCCAGCAATATTTATAAGTAGGGTTGATAATTTTGGGAAAATGGAATTTCATTCAAGTTGGACTTTTTTGAGGGTGTTATCACATCCAAAACATTTTAAATGGATAAACCATTTTTATCAGTAAGAAAGTAATTTCCTGTATTAGTTTTAAGTTATTAGTCTTATGACACATAAATTGTTTTTATTGACCAGTGCTATATGAAATAGTAATAAAACAAATGTGTTTGTGTTTTCAAAAATAATGAGAGATTTCATGCAACATTAACTTAATAAATCCAACAATAATTTAAATGTATTTGAAAGTGATCTCCATTATTTGAATAGGTTCAGAGTGTATCAGATGTTTGATCCCCTCTAGAACATTTTCTGTAATTTTTTTTTATTTTATTGATTTTTCACAGAGAGGAAAGGAGAGGGATAGAGAGCCAGAAACATCGATAATAGAGAAACATCAACCAGCTGCCTCCTGCAAACCCCATATTGGGGATGTGCCCACAACCAATGTACATGCCCCGGACCAGAATCGAACCTGGGACCCTCCAGTCCGCAGACTAACGCTCTGTCCCCTAAGCCAAATCGGTTTCGGCTGTAATTTTTTTTTTTTAATATATTTTATTGATTTTGTACAGAGAGGAAGGGAGAGAGATAGAGAGTTATAAACATCGATGAGAGAGAGTCATCGATCAGCCGCCTCTTGCACACCCCCAACTGGGGATATGCCCGCAACCAAGGTACATGCCCTTGACCGGAATCGAACCCGGGACCTTTCAGTCCCCAAGCCGATGCTCTATCCATTGAGCCAAACCGGTTTTGGCTTTTTTTTTAAGTAACCTATTAGTGATTTTGTCAAGTAGAAGTAACTTGAAGTTTCTCTTCTTTAAAATTGGATCCTGGCTATTATTATTTAAATATATTTTTATTGATTTCAGAGAGGAAAGGAGAGGCAAAGAGAGGTAAAAGCATCAATGATGAGAGTGAATCATTGATCAGTTGCCTCCTGTACATCCCTTACTGGGGACAGAGCCCGAAACCCAGGCATGTGCCCTTGACCAGAGTTGAACCTGGACTCTTCAGTTCACTGAGCCAAATGGGCTAGGGTTAACTTTTTGAAATGAATTGAGCAAAGCAGTGGTTAACAATTATAGAATTTATTGAAGCAATCTAAAAGCAGTGCTAGAAATACCAGGAATTAGAAATTGTCTTTGTTCCTAACCTTAAGATTATCATTTAATGTTTTTCTATCTAATATTTTCCTGTAAAACTGAGATATTCACAGTACTTCAAGAAAGCAAAGATGAGCTGAAACCAGTTTGGCTCAGTGGATAGAGCATCAGCCTGCGGACTGAAAAATCCTAGGTTCGATTCCAGTCAAGGGCATGTACCTTGGTTGCGGGCACATTCCCAGTAAGGTGTGCTGGAGGCAGCTGATTGATGTTTCTAACTTTCTATCCCGCTCTCTTCCTTTCTGTAAAAAATCAATAAAATTTTTATTTTTTTTAAAGAAGGCAAAGATGAATGAATCAGAATTAGTGGGCTTTAAAGTTAATAGACTATAAGTGTTGATGCTTAGTGTTTGTATAATCTTCATTTATTGTATTTATTTGGAAATGAATTAGTTTGCATTCTGAATTTTTACCTCAGCAAAAGGTGAATTTCTGGCAAATATAGTGAAACCTACAAAAATAGAAGTTGCTTACACTTTCTAATTTATTGAGTTTTCTTTTTTGGTATATCCTTATCTGAGGATATTTTTCTATTAATTTTAGAGAGAGTAGAAGGGAGTGGGAGACAATTGAGCCTGTACCCAAGGTATGTGAGCTTGATCAGAATCAAATCCATGACCCTTCAGTCCGAGGATTTGTGCTCTATCCAGTGAACTGCACCGGCTAGGGCAATTTTCTTTCTTTTTGAATGAGGCAGGATAACATTTCTTGAATTTAAAAAAATAAAACAATGCAATACATTAAATTTTTCTTACTGTTGTTATTGTTTTAATCTTTATATTGGGTTGCTTCCTGAAAGCATGTCCCACTTATTTGTATCAACACTAGAGGCCCAATGCACAAAATTTGTGCAAGGGGCTTGGCCTTTGCAGCTGCAGCAAGCCGGCTTGCCTTGGCTTCACCTGGAAGGTCGTTCGGCTGTCCAGTCTAATTAGCGTATTATGCTTTTATTATTATAGATTTGCTTAAAGTTTAATTGGGAGGAGGGAAAGGTAGTAGAGAATGGGCAAGTTTGAAGTAGCAATCAAAAAACTTAAATTCCTTATATCTTTACAAGCTAGCTTTAATCTGGATAATGTAATTGACATTAATTTTCTTAAAATAATTTCTTAACTTGTTTCAAGATCATTACTATATTTAAAAATGGACTTTAGTTGAAACTTATTGAACTACTTATTGTATTGGACTGGGCCAGTTTTCACTCACTCACTCAGTATTGTTATTGAATACCTACACTATGGCCCAGGCAAGCACGATCGTGATATCCCTAGCTTCAAGGAGCCTATACTCTCTGGAGTAAG